TTTAATCTTGCTGCATTCATTTATTAATTTAATGCTTGTAACAAGTGAAAGAAGTAGTATGAACTCAAAGACACAGAGCTAGTCCGTGGTATATGCAGGATCTGAATCCACAGCCCATGTTTTTCAACACTGTGTCATACCACCTAACAGTTTATCTTGCTATAAATAATGCAATTTTAAGATTTTTCCTACAGGTTTTCTTAAAATATTTTTTGAATGCTATTGAAATAAAGAGAGATTGTGTGATGCTTTCTCATCTTTTGACAAATAGTCATATGAGTTAGTCAACTAGAACTATGAACGCCAGCTGAAGGACCAAATCATCCTACCACTAACTATTTTGGCACACAGTCAGTCGCTCCTATGTTTATGTATTGTCTCTGACTGCTCTCCATTCTATAAGGTGTAACAGAGTTGAGGAGTTGGGACAGAGACTGTGTGGCTACAAAACCTAAAATACTTACTGTGTGCTCCTTTTACTATGGTGGGCTTTAGGCACAGTGGCTCACGTCTGTAATCCTAGTTCTAAGGAGGTGGAGATCAAGAGGATTGCAGTTCAAGTCCTGTCCTGGCAAAAAGTTAGCAAGACACCATCTCAACCAATACACTGGGCATGATGGCATATGCCTGTGATCTCAGCTAGGAGGATCTTGCAGTCTGAGGCTGGCCCTTAAGCGAAAACACCAGTCCCTACCTGAAAAACTAACTACAGCAAAAAAGGGCTGGGGCATGGCTCAAGAGGCAGGTGCCGAGCAAGTCCAAGGCCTTGAGTTCAAACCTCAGGACTACCAAAGTAATATAATAATAATGATAGAAATGCAGCGTAACTCTTCTGGGGTGAGTAATTAACTCAATTTTACCATAAAAAGAACAGATTTTAGTAGGTAAATAGTTACCATTCAACGTATCTAACTGGTACAGCATGTCAAGTTTAGAATTAAAACTATGGATCAATTTATATTAAATGAGTATTATATAACATTTGACATTTGGAATATTTAAAGCCATTTCTATTTTTTTAAATTGGAGCTTTAATATAATCCCACATACAAAGCAGTGAATTTTTGCTTGAAATTCAACGAACTAGACTTGTCCCAAAGTGAGGAAGATGATATTTTTGAGGGAAAGTATTTGGATATTGATTTGATCTTGCCAACTGAACTGCTGATATTTAACTCCCTTAGCTCACAAAATGGCATATTTGATATGTCTTCTTCTCATGCACTGGCAGACTATTTGCTTGTTCAGTCTATAATAAATTTTATTTTACAAATAAAGGTAGTGTTCTAGTGCCATCAATTTTTAAAGGCAACACTAGGTGGCAGTAAACACACAAAAGTAACAGTTCTCATCACAGAAAGGAGCATTTTTGGCTTCACTCTAAAAAAAATGAAGAATCAAAAACCTAAGTAAGACACCTAGTTATCTGGCTTTGGAAATGGGAGCCAAAAAGCTATTGAAACTATAATTCATCCAAGCTTTAAGTTATGAGAATGGTAACACCCAACATCAACTTTATAAAATTGTTTTATTTTCTAAGACTTCATTTTGTTAACAAATTCTAACCATATACATGTATTTAGATGTTAATTAATTTGGAGAAAAAATGAAACATCTTAAATTACCTTTTCCATCAAGATTTATATAAGAGTATACTTTATATGTTTATAGCTTATTTATTATGGCTTTTTGGAATTAGTGAAATCTATATTTATTTAGGGCTGTAAGTAAGTATGTGAAGGGCACAGCATACTGTTGACATGCTACTAGCAAAACATTTTTAAACCTAATAAATATTACCACTATCTAAACTCTAGAAAAAATAGAGAATAAATAAAATAACTTTATTTTATTCATTATGGTACTGAGGTTTGAACTCAGGGCCTACACCTTGAACCACTCCACCTACCCTTTTTTGTAAAGGGTTTTTCTGAGATAGGGTCTCTCAAACTATTGCCTGGGCTGGGTTTGAACCTCAATCCTCCTGATCTCTGCTTTCTGAGTTGCTAGGATTACAGGTGTGAACCACCAGTGCCCGTCTTTATTTAAAAATTAATTTTAAGATTTTACTTCCTTATTTGGTATTTTCAGATTTTAAGAGAAACATCTTATATACATAAAGAATCATGTTATTTTGACCCACTGATGGCTGTTTTTTTTGTTTTTGTTTTTTTCCCAGTACTGAGGTTTAAACTCAGGGCCTTAGATTTGCTAGGCAGGGGCTCTACCACTTAAGCCATGCCTCTAGCCCTTTTTGATTTAGTTATTTTTTTAATAGGGTTTTGGTTTTATGTCTGGGCCAGCCTGAACCCATGAAACTACTATTTACATTTCCTGTGTAGCTGAGATGACAGGCACACACTACCACACCCCACTTTTTATTGGTTGAAATGAAGTCTCACAGATTTTATGCTTGGGCTGATCTTGAACTGCAATCCTCTCAATCTCTACCTCCCAAATAGTTAGGATTACAGGCGTGGGTCATGGCAGTTGGCTATCACTGGTAGTTTTGAAGAACTGTCTGTAACATTCTTTTCCAGCTATATTGAGGTATAAATTTGCAAACAAAAACTGAATAGATTCAAGGTGTCCAACATGATAATTTGATAAATGTACACATTATGAAATGGTTAACAAATTAAGCTAAGAAATACATCCATCACCTGACACAGTTACTTTCCAACAGTCTGAATTAGAATTTAAGCATGATTTTATAAATTTGCATGGTAACAACTCAACTTATTTTTTTTTCTAATTTACTTGTAGATGTTCCATTTTGTGAATTCATTACAAGACCAGATGGCATTCAGTTGAGGTCTCAGCAACATTACCATAAAATTATTTTAACTTACTAATTTTTTGGTCATAGACCAAAGCTGGGGTACACTCAAAAGTATGAAAGTCAATAAATCAACACAATATTAGCCATCTGCAGAATAGTCTGAAGGCCAGCAAATCTCCTAAATTTTAACTTAGGAGACATTAAGCTGGGCCTGGTGGTACATGCCTATAATTCCAGCTACTCAAGAGGTAGAGGGAGGAGGATCGTGAATTTGAGGCCAGGCTGGGCAGAGGTAGTGAGACCCCATCTCAAAAACAAAATACATGATAGAGTGGTTGTCTAGCAAGTGCAGGGCCCTGAGTTCAATCTCCAGAGCCTAAAATAAATAAATAATAATAAAAATTAAAGGGGTGGGGATTATAGCTTAAGTGACACAGCACTTGCCTTGCATGCAGAAGGTCCTGAGTTCAATCCCCAGTACCACAAAAATGGGAGATTTTAAACTCTCTGCTGTCTTAAAACTGCTCTCTAAAATGCATATTCTATATGTGGAATCTATGATAAAACACAGATTCCTACCAAATACAATGAAAGAGCAAAGAGGGCAAAGCAGAATCAACTTCTTTAGCTAATGCTATAAATAAATATACAAGTTCATGATATTACATCTTCTGGTTAGAAGAACCAAGCTTTGAATGTCTGATTAAAGTACCACCAGATACAAAAGGAAGCAGTGCCCTGATCAGCGGCCCTGCACCAGGAAGACTGAGCTAGTCAGAGGTCCAGAGAAAGTGAGGGCAAGGTCAAGAGTGGGCAGTGTGGAACTCATTCAGTTCTGCTCAGCAGCTGCAAAGGGCATCACGAGCTAGCTCAGGACAGAGCTCTGCTCTGTTTGGAGGTAGGGTTTTCTGTGTCTCTCAAGACTATTTTACCATCTTTGCTCTTGGTTTACATTCACCAAGAAATCAATTAATAACCAATTCCACTAGTCCTTTAACACTGGCTGTTATAGTCATTAGGAAAGTATCTCCTCATTGTAAATTATCTACCTGAGATTCTGGTGAGCCCCTTGTGAGTTTCCATAGTTTGAAGTCAGTCCCCAAAGCCCAACTAACTCTGGATACATTGGTAAAGGCAAGTTTTTAAATACACAGAGTTATGGGACCATCTCAAATCAAGAAGACAGTATGAACTTAGCAAGCTGGTATCTCCTATCTCCCTGTTCAAGGGACATGTCTTCCTCTCTTGCTCCTACAGGTAATAAATCAGCCTTGCAAATAACTCTCCAAATCCTACTCAACTCACAAAATTCAACACAGATCTACTGTTATCTGCCAGAGTCATTCTTTTTCCCCTCCTACTCACTGCTATCTAAAATCACTCTCCAGGATGCATATTCTACATACGGCATTTGTGATAAACACAGATTTCTATCAAATACAAAAACAGAGCAAAAGGGCAAAGCAGAATAGACTTCTTTAGCAAATGCTGGAAATGTACAAGCTTACAAGCTCATTTCTTCTGGTCAGCCCTGAGCCCTAAGGCCTTGGGTGCGCGAAAAAGCACTCTATCATCCTGCTAAATTCTGCTTTAATAAAATTCCACAACTGTTTTATTTTTTCAATACCTAAAAATGAAAGATCACAATATTATTTCCACAATGATAATCACTAGCAGCCAAAACACTCTGCCAATTCTTCTATTCACATTTAGTTACTGCCTAATTTTCAAAATGTTGTAGGAATCCATATTTCAAAACGTGATAAACAAAAGGAAAACCCAAAAAGCACACAGCCTGCTTGTACTTTGTATGTGTCTTCCTACAAATTACCTTTTGGAGTTTTGAGTATTTCACAATGAATTCGACCTCTGTAGCAAATGACATACAAATCATTATCAACAGGTATTTCTTAGGATTTGCTTAAGAAAGTATAAGTGACACTTCCCTACACTACAGTAAAAACACATGTTAAATTCATAGATTCTAGTCCAAAGATTTATCCACTCAGGACTGGCCAGGCCAACACAACAGGTGGAAAAGTCACTTCGTGCTTGCCTCATGATGACCTGGGCAATAACCATGAACTATGGCCTGACTCCTCATGCCTTCTATCACTTGAACTGTTTTTACTTTCTTATCACTAACTGCATGTTACTAAATTGTCAGTCACAGGCAGCAAGGCCAGCACTTAAAATATAGGTCTAAATTTTCACTTACCTCCACTGCAACTACAATCAAAATAAGGTCTGTCTTTGACTCTGGAAAGACTGCATTCACTTGTGGTGACATTCCAATCAGAGCACAGTTAGTGACCACAGATATAACACTCATGGTTTCAAAAGCCAACTAAAAGAAAAAAGAATGTGAAATTAAAAATTGCAGTGGTCATTTCTCCATTTCCTTATCCTCTTTCCATATCTTCCGGAGTTCAGGGAAAAAGTCTTTCCAAACACATTTTAAACGTTTTTCTATCCTGTTATGACTTTCATTAACTTTAAAAAGCTGTACTGCTAGGAGTATTTTAGATGCTTTTCCCAGCAGTAATGTAAGAGATCCAATAATTCTCATCGTGCCAACAGTGGGATTGTCACCACCGTTTATTCTAGACATTCTGACAGGTGGCTAGAGGTATCTCACCATGATTTGGCTTTGCATTTCTCTGATAGCTAATAACATGCAACATAATTTTCTTTGCATACTGCTATCAGTATGTCCTCACTGGAAAAAAATGCTGTCCATTTCCTAACTGCACTGTTTGCTTTTGCTTCCAAGTTTGGAGAGTTCTTTACATATCCTAGATGTAGATCTTTGTCAGATATGTAGCTTGAAATACTTTCTCTGTGTCCATTATCATTGCAGGGACTTTCAAAGAACAAATTTTTTAAATTATGATGAAGTTGGCATACTGATTTCCCTTTCATGAATTATGCTTCTGATGTTATGTCTAAGAGCTCTTTGTGTTACTCTACATCCAGAAGACTTTCTCTATCTTTTCCTAAAGGTGCTGTAGTTTTACATTTTACATCTAAGTCCAGGATCCATTCTGAGATCGTTTTTCTATAGAGTGTGGTTTAGGTTGCGGTCAGTTTTATAGACAATGGATGTCCAATAGTCTGGCACCATGCTAAAAAGACCATCCATCCTCTGCTTAATTACTTCAGCAGCTTTGCCAAAATTTAGCTGGACACATTGCTGTGGGCTATTTCTGAGTTCTTAACTTCATCCATCTCTACCAATACCATATCATCTTGATTATTCTGCTACACAGTAAGTACCCGTAGTACTGGGTAATCAGGTAGTGTGTCTTTTCCTCACATTTGATTTTTGTTTGCCAAGATTATTTTAGATATCCAAATATTTGTGCTACTCATAAACATTTTTAGAATGAGCTTCTCCATGTTACAAAATTCTTGCTGAGGTCTGATAGCTATCACATTAAACATATCGGTGAATTTGGGGAGAACAGACAGCATCATTCGGTTGAGTCCTCTAATCCATGAGCATCCTCTCGCTTTGATTTCTTTCCTCAGGATTTCATAATTGTCAGCACACAGATCCTGAACATGTTAAGTGACTTTTTCCAGTTCTTTGAAGCAATTATAAATAGCATTAGTTTTAACATTTTTCTACATTTCACTGTTAATATAAGAAATGTGATGGCTTCTGTCAATCTCGTAATACTGAAGCCTCAGTGAACTTCATATTAGCTCTAAGAGTGTTTTTGCAGTCTTTGGACTTTCTATATTGACAGTTATACCATCTGCAAATTGGGACAGTTTTATTTCTTCCTTTCACCTGGTATGCTTTTATTTCTTTTGCTTGCTAATTACACTAAACTAAACTTCCAGTGCTTATGCTGAATAAAAATAGTGAGAGTGGACATTCCTACAGTTTTCAGTCTCAAAAGGAATGCATTCATTCTTGCACCATGGCGTTAACTTTAGGGTTTTTAATAGGTGATCTTTACCAAGTTGAAGTAGTCCTATTTTTCTGTAAGTTTAAAAAGGAATGAGTATTGGATTTTGTCAAATGCTTTATCTCCACTGATTGATATAATAATGTGATTTTCTTGATTAGATTATGTTGGATTACAAAAACTGATTTTCAAATACTGAAGCAGGCTTGCATCACTTGTCTAAATCCTACTTGCCATGGCATATTATTCTTTTAACATACTGCTAACTTCTACCTGCTAATTCTTAGCATTTATATTCACGAATATATATATATATATTCGTGAAGGATAATGTTTGGTCTTTAACTTGTGCCTGGTTTTGCTGTCACATTGACATTAGCTTCCTAAGATGAATTAGGAAATAGCCTGTCCTCCTCCTCTGCTTTCTAGAATTGTGTAAAATTGGTGCTATTTTTTTCCAATGGTACAATTCAACAGTGAAATTATCTGTGTCACAATGTTTCTTTTGAGAAATTTGTTATTAGACGTTCAGTTTCCTTTACAGTTATAGGTCTGCTCAAATGAAATATTTCATATTATATTATAGTTGTAGCTTCTGTGTTTTGGAAGAATTTAGGTTTGCAGAAGTGTCCATAGTATTCCCTTGTCTTTTCAATGGCTACAGGATCTGTAGTGATATCTTCTTTTGTTTTTATATCATTACTGTCTTTTTCATCTTTCATCTTGCTAGAGGTTTGTTGATTGTATTCATCTTTTCAAAGACCCACATCTTTGATTCACTGACCTCTATTATTTTCCCGTTTTCAGTTTCACTGATTTGTCCTCCTCTGTATTATTTCCTTCTCTGCTTACTTTGGGTTTATTTTGCTCTTCCTTTCTAGTTTAGGAGCTTAGATTATTCACTTGAGATTTTCCTCCTTTTCCAGCATATACACTGGGTGTTAAAATGTCCTGTCAGCATTACTTTAGCCATGTTTCACAAATTTTGATGTACAGCCATTTTCATTTTCATTCAGCCCTTAGTGATTTTCCTTCAGACTTTCTCTTTGGTCCATTAGTTATTTTGAAATGTGCTGTTTGTTTACTGACTTCTTGTTTTATCCCATTGTTATCACAGACATACTATGTATCACTTCAATTCTTTAAATATTTGAAGTTTATTACCCAAGATATGATCTGGCTTATTGAATGTTCTGTATGCACTTCAACTTGGTTCTTCCTTTTGTTTTGTTTTGGGTGGTACTTGGGATTGCACTCAGGGCCTGCTGGGCAAGCACTCTTCCACTAGAGCCACACCCCCAAGCCCTCTGTATGCACTTGAAAAAAATGTGGATTCTATTATAGGTAAAATATTCTACAATGTTAGTTAGTTTCTATTATTTGATGGTATGATTGAGTTGTTCTATATTCTTGATAATTTTCTATCTACTTCATCTATCCATTTTGAGGAAAGGATCATTCAAATCCCAAACCATAACTGTACATCTGCCTATTCCTCCTTTCTACTCAAGTTTTTTGTTTACCTATTCTGAAACTCTCAGACATTTCAATCTGCTGTGTGTTCTTGAAAATATGACCACTTACTTAATCATCATACAATGGTCCTGTTGCCAGTTTTTTGGTAAGATACTTTCTCAGATACTAATAGTCACTCTTACTTTTTCTTTTCTTTTTTTAAGCACTGTTTCCATATATATCTTTGATTTTTACTTTCAGCCTGCCTGTATCATTTGAACTCAGTTGATAGAAACAGCATATACTTGGGTCATATGTTTTAATCTACTCTGTCAATCTCTACCTTTAATTGTGTCCTCAGACCATGTACAGTTAATGTAATTATTGATATGTTAGGACAATTGGCTATTTCTTTGTTTTCAATTTGTTCCTTATTTTTCACTTGTTTTCTTTTTCTTGCCTGACTGAGGTTTACTTAAACATTTTTTGACTTACCTGTGTTTTGAGTGTATCTTTCATGTAATTTCTATGGTTACATTTCTAGGTATTACATTATTATAACATCACATTCTACTTGTGCCATCATTTATTAGTCTGAGTGAGGCATAGAAACCTTATCTCCCTTACCTTTTATTCATAATACCCTTGTCTTAGTATTTTCTCAACATATATTTAGAATTATTCAGTGGTATTCTAAGTTGTGCTTTAAATATTGAGCAAAATAAGAAAACAAGAGCAGAAGGAAATTCTGTTGTATTTTTGGTTTCTATGTTTTTCTTCCTAATGTTCCCAGATTCCTTCTTTTATTACTTCCTTCATTTAGAGAACTTCCTTTAGGACAGATCTTTTTGCAGCAAATTCTCTTAGTTCTCCTATATCTGAAAATGTCTTCACTTGTCCTTCATTTCTGTTTTTTTTTTATTTTTGTTAGGTGGGGTGTATTGTGGCATTTACAAAATGTCTTACAATGTATCAAATACATCATACTTGAATTCATTTCTCCACTGCTCTCCTTTATTCCTGGAATAGTCTCAACAGGTATCATTTTTGTATTTACATACATGTATACACATTTTTTGCACCATATTCACCCTCCTACCCCCTTTTCCTGCCACCTCCCCCTTCCCAGTAATACTACCCCTTCCCCCCTACGCTGGCCTGGGGCAGGACCTGTTTTTACCTCCTGTTCTCCAATTTTATAGAAGAAAAAATGACATTTTTGCTTGTTTGAGGTAAAGGTAGCTACACAGGGAGTTTCTTTGTGGTATTTCCATGTATATATGTACTATAACCCCAACTGGTTTACCTACTCTAATTTTCTTCATTCTATTTTAGCTCCTTTCTTACGGAGGTTTCAGCCAGTTTAATCTCCTTCATTTCTCAGGCACTCATACAGATGTAGGATTCTGTATTGAAATTATTTCCTTTAAGGATCTGGAAATACTGTGTCTCTTTCTTCTGGCCTCCATGGCTTTCAATGAGAAGTTGACTGTCCTTGTAATGGTTTTTCCTCTATAGTTAAAATGTCATGTCTCTTTTGATGATGTGTGTTAGCATGGATTCATTTGTGCTTTACCCAGCTCCTTAAACCTATAATTTTAGGACTCTTGCCACATTTGAAAAGTTTTTGGCCATTTATTTCTCCAAACCTTTTTGGGGCACTCCTTCTTTCTCTCCTGTAACTCCAATGAGAGAAATATAAGCTCTTTTGTTACAGTCATACAGGTCGCTGAGGCCATATTTATTTTTATGGTCTGTTTTCTTTCTGTTTTTCAATTTGGGTGATTTCCTTTGTTTCATTTCCAGTTCCTGATTCTTTCCTTTATCCATCCTGCTGTTGTACCCATCCACTGAACTTTCTATTTTAGTTACTATATTTGTCACTTCTAAAATGTCAATTTCATTCTGCTTTATAGCATCTCCTTCTTTGCTCAGTTTAATTCCATTTTTATCATTTGTTTCAGGTGTGTTCATGATTACTCGTTAAGCATTTTTGTCATAGCTGCTTTAAAATATTTGTCCAGTGTTTCTAAATCTATATCATCTCAGTGGTGATATTTGCTGATTGCCTTTTCTTATTTATTTAGTTTCTTGGTAAGAGTGATTTTTTAACAGAAACCTGGACATTATGGGTCCTAACAGACTCTTCTTTCAACTTTGTTAGTTGGATCTGCTCCAGCAAGGGAAGATGGGTTACTTGTTATTGCCATGTGGACATGGAAATCCAGGTTCCCCACTGGACTTCAACACCACTGGCACCTGAGGACAAGAGGCAGGAGTTCTTGTTTCCCACTAGACTTCTCCCTTGCTGGGAGAGCCATAAATGCCTCAGATGTGCTCCCACATAGCCTGCACTATGCAGCATGGTGGGAAAGTCCTTACACGCCACTGGACTTTGAGCCCATGCTATAAGGAGTGGGAAGGAAGCCTTACTATTATCTTTCGGTAGGAGAAGTCTAGGTTGCCATGTGATCCCCACTGACCCTGCAGCAGGAGTACCTCATTTGCACCCAGTGGGATGAGGTCTCAGCTGGATCCTTTCCCAGAGAATCGTAGGTTTTATATCTTAAAGGGTCATTATAATTAATATTTATCCCCTTGTACACCTCAATTTTAAAACTAAAAGGTGAGGCCAGTTAAAGTTGAAGTTAATGACATTCTAAGGTCACACAGCTATTCTGCCACTAAATCCCTAAATCTCTTTTAGGGATTGCTGATTTTCTTTCTTTCTTTTGCTCATTTATTCATTCATTCTTTCTTTCTTTTTTGTCACAGTGCCTCAGATTTTAGGTATATTTTTCCTCAAATAATTACCTGCCATACACCAATACTGGCTGAAGGTTCTGCAAATGGGCGTTTGAAGACTCTGCACATTTTTAAGGCATCTGAATTGACTTCAGTGAAGTTATTTAACACAGCAAAGGCAGCTGCTAATGGGTAAACACAGGAGAAAAGGCTCACGTAGCCAAACTGCAGGAACAACTCCAAGTAGTCATCAAAGGTGCCCTGCAATGTAAACCACAAGGAACCAGGCTCATTTTAATGTCATATAGGAGGAGTGAGCACTTACAATGCTGGCCAAAGTGTAGCTTCTAACTATCAAAAAACAAAACCAGAAAAAGCCCTCAAAACTTAAGAGTTTCCCTAGGTTCTTTCTTCTCAACCACAGATTTATATAGATTTAAAGGTGATTAAGCTGCAAACAAAAAATAAAAAAAATCACTTAACTGCTCATTTCCTTGTGCCAAATCTTTTCTTATTACATTTTTAAAGACAAACAATAGCAAAGCGTAACACATTTGCTCTTAACCAACTAAAAAGAAATGATCCCATACTACTGTTAGAGGTAGTACATCATGGGAGTCCCAGAATGTCAGTCCCTGGCCTTCCATTAAATAGCGCAAGCAGGAAGTGATGCTAAGGTAGTGTTGTGAACATCAGGCTGAGCACTGATAGAATGCCCCAACACAAAAACAGAGACCTAATACACATCTAAGAACATTCAACTAAATAACCTCAGAATACACATTCCTCTCAAGAGCATATGAAACATTCTCCAATACAGATGATACCTTTAGCCATAAAGCAATTCTGAATAAATGAGGAAGGCTTAAAATAATACAGAGTAACCTCTCTGGAATGAAACTGAAAATCAGTAACAAGGACTTTTCAGGAATTCACTGGTAACACACACACACACACACACACACACACACACACACATATACACACATAGATCTAGATATGGATTCATATATATAAATATAGGTATATCTGAAAAATTGAGCAGCATATTCCTTTAACAAAGGGATCAAGGAAGAAGTCATGAGAAATTAGAAAATGTTTTCAGATGAATGAAAACAAAGATGCAATACCAAACTTATAGGATGCAAAAGTGGTGATCAAAGAGAAACTTACAGCTATAAATGGCTATTAAAAAAAAGGCTCAAAACAATCTAAAATATCAAACTTAAGAGGCTTGAAAAGGAAGAGTAAGCTAAACCCAAAGCAATCAGAAGGAAATAAATAATAGAACTGAAATAAATAAAATAGAATAGAGACCAAGCACTCGTGGCTCACGCCTGTAATCCTAGCTACTCAGGAGGCAGAGATTAGGAGGATTGAGGTTCAAAGCCAGGCCAGGTGTAGTTCACAAGACCTTATCTTGAAAAAACCCTTCACAAAAAAAGGGTTGGTGGAGCGTCTCAAGGTGAAGGCCCTGAGTTCGAGCCCCAGTACTGAAAAAAAAAATAGAGAACAGAAAATCAATAGAGATGATCAGTGAAACCTAAAGTTGATTCTTTGAATACATTATTTTTTTTTAAAAAAAGATAAACCACTACCTACTCTATGCAAGAAAAAAAGAAAGAAGACTGAAGTTGCTAGCAGTAGAATCAAAGGAGATATTAATACTGATCTTATAGGAAGGAAAAGAAGATTGTAAGGAATAGGATGAATAACCATATGCCAAAAATATAGTAACATAGATGGATAAATTCCTAGATTGACATATCTAACAAAAGTGACTCAAGAAGAATGGAATGGCTGAATAGACATACAGGAAGAGATTAAGTTAGCAATGTAAAACTTCCCATAAACCAAAGTCCAGTCCCAGAGTATTCACTGAAGAATTCTATCAAATTTAAAGAAGAGTTATTAATACTAATTCTTCTCAACTTGTTCAGCACTTCCCAATTTATTCTGAGGTCAGAATTATGCTGACATCCACACCAAAGACATCATAAGAAAACAGAACTACAGACCAATTCCCCTTATGAATGGAGATGTAAAAATGCTCAATAAAATGCTATCTAGCTGGATCCAGCACATATTAAAAGTATTCTATACCATGACTAAGTAATATTTATCCTAGGATTGTAAGATTGTTTCAGTGTATGAGTATCAATCAATGTAAACAACCATAATACTTAAGTTTTTGGTTGTCTATTTGGTTGGTTTTTGCAGTACTGGGGTTTGAACTCAAGCCTTGTATTTTCTAGGCAGATACTCTATCACTTGAGTCATGCCTCCACCCCAAGTTTTTTTGAAGGACACAAAAAACCAATATCCAATACCTCTTAATAATAAAAACACTCAATAAATGAGAACTACATTTCCCTCGATCTGATAAATAGGATCTAGAAAATGCCCACTGTTGACACCCTATCAATGGTTAAAGACTGAAAACTTTCCAACTAAGATCAGGAACAGGACAAGGGCGGATGCTCTCAGCTTAATATTTAATTAATATTAAGTTTAATATTTAATATTGTTCTAGAAGGTCTAACCAGTAAAATTAAGCAAGACAAAGAAATTAGAGGCATGCAAAGCAGAAAACAAAATTACCTACATTTGCAGAATTGATCTTATATTTAAAAAATCCACAAATAATTATTAGGCCTATCAAATTACTTCAGTCAGGCTGCAGGATAAAATATCAATACACAAAGATTGATGGCATTTCTGTGCACTAACAATGAACAAGATGAAAATGAAATTAAGAAAACAACTGCATTCACAATAGCACTGAAAGGAAAAAATACTTCCAGTATCAATTTAACCAAAGGAGTGTAAGACTTGTACGCTAAAAACTACAAAACACTGTGAGAAAAATTAAAGTAAATTTAAATAAATGTAAAGATACTCTTGTGTTTATGAATTGGAAAGCTTAACATTGTTAAGACAGTTATACTGATTCAATGTAATCCCAATCAAAATTCTAAATGCATTTTTTTATGGAAATGAACAAGTTGATCCTAAAACTCAGAAGGACTTTTGAGGGATCCAGAATAGCACAAATAATCTTGAAAAAGAGGAACAGGTTGAAAAGATAACATTTTCTGATTTGAAAACCTACTACAAAGCAACTGTAGTTAAGACATGATAGTACTGGCATAAGGACAGACATACAGGTCTATGGAACAGCATTAAGAATCCAGAAATAAACTCTTCTATCTGAGGCCTATGACTTTCAACAAGCATGCCAAGACCACTCAATGGAGAAAAATGGTTTTTCAGTAAACAGTACTGTACAACTACATATCCACATGCAAAAGAATGAAGTTGAACCCCTCCCCCAAATCAAACACAAAAATTAACTTGCAATGGCTCAAATACTTAATATAAAAGTTAAAGATACAAAAATCTTAGAAGAAAACACAGGAGTAAATCTTCCTGGTCTTTCTTTAGCTGCAACATCAAACACACAGTACCAAAAGAAGAAATAAACTGAGGCAGATGCTGGTGGCTCATGTCTGTAATCCTAGCTATGAAGGAGATAGCAATCAGGAGGATCATGGTTCCTAGCCAGCCCAGGGACAAAGTTCAAAAGACCCCATCTTAATCAATAGTTAGGCATGGTGGGGTTAGCCTGTCATTCCAGCTATGGTGGGAAGCCTAAAATAGGAGAACCACAGTGCAAGCCATCCTGAGAAGAAAAAGTAAGACCCTATTTCCAAAATAACCAGAGCAAAAAAGGGGCGGAGTTTATCAAGTGGCAGGGCCCCTGTCTAGCAAGCTCAAACTCCAGTACTGCCAGAGAAAAAGAATATGAGAGACAACTGGCTTTTTAAAACTCCTGCAATTCCTCAAAAGGTAAACAGAGAACTAACTTATGACATAGTATATGGTAATATGTGTTTATACAAAATCCATGTGCATACAAAAATTTATACACAAATTGCCATAGTACCATTCGTTCTAACAGCTAAAAATGTGGGAAAAGACCAAATGCTCATCACTGATAAATGAATAAATAAAATGTTATATATACATACAATGGAATATTATTCAGTCATAAAAAGGAATGAAGTACAAATTCATGTTACAACATGGATGAACCTTGAAAACACTATGATTAGTGAGAGAAGCCAGTCACAAATGGCCACACATTGTATGGTTTCATTTCTATGAGACACATGAACTCAGTAAATCCACAGGTACAGAGTATAGATTAGTAGTTGCCAGAAGCTGGGGAGAGAGTGACTGTGGCTGGCTACACATTTCTTTCTGTGATGATGAAATGTTCTGAAATTACAGCGGTGACAGTTGTATAACCTTGTGAATTTACTACAGACTTGCAAATCTGCAAAACCATTCAAGTGTATACTTTAAAAAGTGAGCTTTATGGAATATGAATTATAGCTCAGCTTTTTAAAGTAAGCAGAAAAAAACCACAGATGGTAACAAGAAATCTATCCAGATCACCCTAACAAAAGTAGCACAAACATTAGAGGCCAGAGAAGAAAGGAGCCCAGAGCAGAAAATGGGGAAGCCATGCGAATATAAAGAAAGGCCTCAGAAACTGTTTTAAAACCTTGTCGGCATGTTTAAAAACTTTACACCAGAGCAGAAAAGGGGTAAGTCAGATTTGAGGGTGAAGAGGTACAGACAGTATTAAGACAGTTGTTCTGTGATCTGTAGCACTGACAAAGGCCTCTGCTGGAGCAGGAAATGGGGGAACAGTGACTGGCTTGTCTCCTCAGTCACCGCATCTGAAGAAGACACATTCCGTGCTACTCAGTGCCTCACCACTGAGGCTTGACGTTCACAGCATGACATATGTCCTGACTGGACAGAAGTTAGGCACAGTGACTGATGTACAGAGCCAGCCCAGGACACCGGAGGCTATGCTCACACCTTATGCCAGTGTTCACCAACTTCTGGCATCTTCAGGCCTCAGGATCATGCTGTGATGTGCAACAGCTGCTTCATTTTGAGTGAAATGCTCATCCCAGTGCTAGAGCAATGTTAAGTACTGCCATCAGGTTCACAAGTCAATTCTTACCACCATAGCTGCCAGTCTGTCTTTCACCAGGATATACATATGAGGCTCAGGAGCTGACAGCTTTAGTGTCAGACAGACCTACTTTCAATCCATTTCTTTCTTTGTTTTTTATCTTATTAAAATAGAAAATCTCAAGCATAATTACAGGGTATTGGGAATGGAGGAAGTGCTTCTTTCAGAAGCTCTGGACACTTGCATCAAGTATGAGCCCAGGGATGCC